ACAGAATCACATGTTGATTATCAGTTTCTCTCAAGGTTACCATGGAATCCCATGTACATCATCAGTTTCTCTCAAGGTTACCATGGAATCACATGTTGACCACCAGTTTTTCTCAAGGTTACCATGGAATTCTATGTACATCATCAGTTTCTTTCAAGGTTACCATGTACACTATCAGTTTCTTTGAAGGTTACCATGGAATTCCCTGTCCACGTTTCTCTTCGGGTTTTGCTTCACTGTCTGAAAATGTTAAGAATAACAATGTCTTCTGATGATTAATTTTAGTTTAAATTTTTTACTACTCACACTACAAGGTTATCATCAACATAATAATAGTTAAAAGGTACATTTCACATGTACGTTTTTATATTTCGTGTATTTATCGGTTTAAAACAAAATAAATCAGGCAACAAACAGCAATGATGCATCTAGCTATATTTAATAAGACTACAGAAGTGACATATAAATTCTAATACACTGGTAACACAAAGCTAGAACAAGACAACAACACCATTAACATAACACACAAGCTATATGCAGGATAAAATGTAACAATGTGCCAGAAAAATCTCTGTGCTGAGTTTCAAATCAAACAGTTTTTAGGCTCTTGATAGCTACAGCACTAACTAAATAATGAATTTCTAGAACTACGTTTTTGGTCAGAAAAGTTTATGAACACCACTATCTTCTTACGCTGTGATCTCTGCTAAATCAAATGAAAGATACTTCCTAGAAATGTCTAGGTAATTACCACAGCCACTTAACAGAAAAGTTGTGAAATAGCTTTTAGTGAATGAACAGAACTTTCTTAAATCTCAGCAAAACAAATTGAAAACACACGTACCTGTTACTACATAATACTTAAGTACTGTAAAAAAAGTACTTCGAATGATGGTCACAGTAAAAATAATTTTTACCCCCTTGAAATTGTCAAAAAGAATAAAAAAAAAGGCATGTATTTGTGTATAAAACAATATTACATGTATTTGTGTATAAAACAATATTAATTGTATAAATAAATATTAAAAGATAACTAGATGGTTGACTAGTTTTACAATAAATACCACAATCCACATTAAAAATAAATATCTTGGATGTGTATCCTTACACCAAGACAGATCCAGCTTCTAAAACAATTCTTAAATTATTGTTACCTTCTGTAGTGACATTAAATAGTATAGGCTAAAATAAAGCATTTGTGAACAATCTGAGTACATCCAACAACAAGAACTGTTGACACTAGAATAATCACTACTCTTCCACCATAAATAAGAATAATGTTACACAGAATTATAATTTAATAATACTTATTTTAATGCTTAGTAACAAACTCAAATAATATCTTGTTCAAAAACAACAGAAGTTGTGTATTCATGTGATAAATAAGTCATCACTGACACCACATTAAAATGTAGTAGAACAATCTTGTTACATAAATAAAACTTTCTTTTGTGTATTCATGTGATAAATAAGTCATCACTGACACCACATTAAAATGTAGTAGAACAATCTTGTTACATAAATAAAACTTTCTTTCACGGGAAGGCATCTGTAACAGGATATACAGCATTCACAGGAAGACAGCTTAAACAGGACTTACAGAGTTCATGGGAAGACAGCTTAAACAGGACCCTACATCATTCATAGGAAGACAACTTAAACAGGATATACAGTGTTTATAGAAAGTCAACTGAAACAGTATATATATATATATATA